ATTCCTTCCCAAACCAGCAAATCCCCTCTCTGGTTCCATCTCCGGGGGATGTTTAAGATTGTTGTAACTTCTTCTGTCAAGAATAGGCAAAGGACCAGCTCCTTATTCCACCCATAATTAGCTGCTTGGATCAAGTTGTTGACCTTCTGAATCAAGCATCAATCTGGCATGGGGATGCTAATTTTGCAATTGGGGAGCCCAGGAATCCACCAATCATTCCAAAATCCAAATATTCACTGATGTCTCATTCTAGTCGGTCACACTGCCCCTTTGAGGACGATCTCCTTACCTATCCACAAACTACTCCACGCCTATGGCCTATGAAGAATCTTCAAGCCTGACAGGTACCATTTAACATGTTAGAGCTCTTTTTGATACATAATGTTAGAATTCAAAAAATTTGAACTATTTTAGTTGTTTTTCTCCATAGAAATGTCCATGATATGTGTTGGATTTCAACTCAAGTTCGTATCCCTGCAACACTTCTTACTATATTTTTATGCTTTGTTTTTACATATAGGTATGGGTCTGAGAGATTCAATTCCCCATTTCTGCATTTACCAACTTGATTCTTTTTGTTTCTTGGAACTTCTTGAGTTGAAGTAGAGACTGAACATGTTTCTGGACAAAAGTTGGTGCTTAACCCCTTCAACCTTGAGAATATGATCTATATAATTCCTTTATTTTTAACCATTTGGACTCGCTGGAAAAGCACTTTGTTTTGGGAAACGTTTTCTCTAAAAGAGTTCCTATTTCCTCTTTGAATTAGGTTGCAATCCTACTTAAAATTTAGATATTAGACTTAAATTTTTTTCTATATGTACACTGATAGTTTTTTTCTCTCTAACTAATCCTCTCTGTTACAAAATAATCATTCAAGTTGCTGTTGTGAAGGTAGCATGACTATAGAACCTTAATTGCTTGGGTACAATTGTGGAGTTTTATGGGGTTACTTGCAGTTAATTTCTTTTATGTTCGCTTTTATGCTGGAAGCACTCTAGCAACAATTTTGATCTTTTGCTGAAACCTAAAACAAACTTGTTTGTGGCATGATAATAGGTTATAAGATTGTTATTTTAAAAATTATATTTTCTGTGCAATTGCAGTTTATAACATGCCAATTTCCTCTCTTTTAAACAATCAACGCACAATGAAGAACCAGGTTCCTCCCACTCTGTCAACAATTTATTTGTTCCAGCACTATGCTGTCATCCTGTTATCCCAGTTTATGCAGTTTCTGGTAGGGTTTTAACAAAAAATGGTTCCTTTCCATGACTAGATTCATATACAGCCAACCTTTTGGTGTAACAAATTATTGGTTCCAGCTTTATGCTGTCATCTTATGCAGCCTGTTTCTGGTAGGGTTTTAACACAGTTCATGACTAGATTCATATGCAGCCAGTCTTCATATTGGTGCAAGATTTGTGGATGCTCTAAGCAAAACAAGGGATTACTGAAAACATCAAGGATGCATAATGACCGCATGGCAAGGTTGAGCTAAGCGGGTTACTATCACTTATTTTCTTTCAAAATAAACTAACAAAATGCTTTTAAAAAGAGAGAGAAGATGTTTTATATGGTCAAGTAAAACTTTCTCTCGTTCCATCCTGGATTCTCTACTGTTGTACGGGCCCTAAAGAGTAATCAAGGAAACCGTCATGGGGCTGGTTTTCAATGGACCAAGTTAGGACTATTGATTTGAGGGTTTTGAATACCTATAGACCTGGTCAACTATATGAATGAAAAGGGGTGGTCTCTTGACCACATATTAAGATTTTAACTAGAGGATCAGTGGATGGACTTGATTACAAGAGTTGCACATGCTTGATTGGCTCCAAGAATCAGATCTAAGGATGTGACCAGTTCCCTGATGTTTAAGAAAATCAGCAAGCATGAGGATTTTTTGAAAGTTTATGTTGCTATGTCTTCAAGAAAATAGACTTAATAAGGAACAGTCAGTAAACCAGAATTTTTGCAGCCTATTTTTATACACCATTTCAAGTTTCCTTTGTAGTGCAAAATATATTTAAGGTTAGGAGATTAATTCTTGGGCTAACACAATTTCCCAACCTCACTCTACTTTCCCTGTGGATGATCAAGCAGGTAAACTCCATTCATCTCACGGCCAATCCCAATCACCTTCTTCGTTTCCAGATCCTGAAAAACACAACGGTCAGGAAAAAAGACTATTGAACAATTTTGGTTTTTTGTAATACTACTAATTAAAATCAAGTTAGCACTAAACTTAGGAACATGCAAAACTGAGGTTAGGGAGATGGCATCAAATAGTCTGATGTTTCCCTTGCTAGAAATTGGCACAAGGGAGCCATCAGCAATATATACTTTGTCTCTCCTAGAGGTTAAGCAATATGTGGTAAACAAGGTAGATAAACTGGTCATATGGTTTGAAGCATCTAAATCTATAACCTAGAATGGTCTAGTGTTACATGGGGCTGAAGCATGACATGCTGTAGCTCTTGTACCTATGTGAACAAAGGCTGAAGTAGAATAAGTAGATGTGGTACCTAAATGCTGAGATGTTTCAGTAATACCAGCTTTACTTTCTAGGTGTGCCAATGCAGCCTGGACAACAGCTAAAGCATCTAAAGATGTGGTCCTTGTGCTGGAAGAAGATGCACTATCTGTAGTAGTTGCCACATTAGCATTCCCCTTCCTGTTTCTAAATCTTACTGGCATTAGGTGAGGGTGCAGCTTCCAACAAGTGTCCCTAGTGTGTTAAGCTTCTTGCAATGATCACAAACAATGTCTCTTTTTGTCTTCCTTCTTAATTTCCCTATCCTTCTCTCCTCCAACCTTAGATTTCATTGCTGCCAAGGTTGCTTCTGTAGGCTAAAAAGATAGCATAACCTTTCTCCTACTCTCTTCACTGTGAACCAATGAGTAGGCTTGAGATAAGTCACACTCTCCCTAGTCAGAAGTTGTTGTCTTGTAATGTCAAAATTTGAATTTAGACCTGCTAACAACTCAAACACTCTATTTGTTTCAATTAATTTTCTATATGTTGTTGCATCTCTCTGGCTTTCCCATTCAATAGTTTCCAAGTGATCAATTTCATACCAAAGAGATTTCAGAGTAGCAAAATACACTGAAATTGAATTCTCCCCTTGTTTGAGGTTGTTTACTTCAAACTTTAGTTCATAAGCTCTAGCCACATTGAGGGGTTGGGAATAAGTCTTCATCATGCTGTCCCAAATCTCCTTGGTTGTTTTTGCCCAAAGGTGGTTTCGGCTGATGTGGGACTGCATAGAGTTGCATAGCCAAATCATCACCAAGTAGTTCTCCTGAACCCATCTTGGATGATATGTATCCTCCTTGGCTGGTTTCTTTGTGTCTCCGGTCACATACCCTAATTTACCTCTACCTCCAATGGTCATCATTATCGATTGGGCCCACTCCCAGTAATTTGTTCCATCAAACCTAACAGTGGTAATTTGGAACGAATTTCCACTCATGTTACCAGTCCCAAAAAAACCTTCCCCTTGTGTTTTCACCTCACTTCCAACCTTTTCCATACTATGTAGATCACAAATAGGTGACAAAACTCCAAGAAGAAGACTAAAGGAGACTAATTTTCTACTGAAACACTAAGTAAAATAGGGAAAAAAATCCAAAAATTGATCTCAACAAAGAATAGGTGCCTAGAACTTAATTTCAGTCGACAGTTTCTTCTCAAAACTATAACTTCAGTCAAAATATCAAAGCCCTAGATCAATATCAATAAAGAAAAGATCTTGATTCCTCAAAAGTGATAGAAGGGTTTAATGCCAAGGAGAAAACAAGGTATTCTCAGATTTATTATGCCACTGCTAAAAAGAATTCTTGATAACTTATATCTAAGATCGAATTAACTTAAAGGTTGTACCTTTCATAGAAAAAAGAACTTTGATCGTCCACTTTGGTTTGAAACCCTAACCTTGGTCGAACCTGAACTCTTTCTCAGAAAAAGAGTTCTGATTGTCCACTTTGGTTTAAAACCCTAACCTTGATCAAATCTGAACTCTAATTCTTCCTGGTCACCGGGTAATTCTCCAAGAATCTTTCACCTTCTTGGGCAGTCTTCAACACTCCAGTAACCTCCAAGAACCAGGCAACTACTGCAGAAGTCTTGATCTAATGGATTCTCATGTAGCCAACCAGATCAGGCTTACATGAAAACCCTAGTTTCTCTCGTCAATTGCTCTGATACCAACTAGAATAAAAGCAAATAGATTTTTGTTCTATTGTAATTCAGAAAAGAAAAGAAAATAAAGGAATAACTAGGCTTCAAAGAGAAGAACAAGAGGAGAAGAGGAGAAGAGAAGAGAGAAGAAAGGGGTTCAGTTGATGGATTCTGCCGCTCCATAATTTTTTTATATAGATTAATCTCCTTATAAGAATAGGATTATTCTAATCCTACTTAGAATAAAAATCATACTCTAATCCTATTTAGAGTAAAACTCAAACAAGAGCATAAAATAGGATAAACAAGGCCAGCCGACCCAACTTAAAAAAGGATAAAAAATAACCAAGTGTGAGTATGGAACCACATACACTAGAACCTAAGTGTGGGTATGGAACCACACTTTCGAAGCTGCTAACTATCTCTACAAATACGTTACAATTGTTTCTTATTTTCTGATTTTCTTTTTTTTTTTTATCTTCTTGACTTCTTGCTATCAAACATTGAAATATCTACATCAATTCCTTTCATTATTCTTAAATTCAGATTTGCGCTGCTTTCAAATTAGCCTTTGATACAGTTATATACATACTCTCCCTCTCTCTGTAAAACCCAAATTCTGAATTTAACATATACTCACAGAGGTTAAATTGCTTTGATTGTCTCGTTCATTTAGCTTACTTATTTATTAAATTCATATAGCTTCTATTTACAATTTGGATTAGTCTCTCACTCTCTCTTACTATATTGACCCCTTAGTTTTATTTATTTATTTTCCTTGAGTGTTTTCAGTGTCTAACTTTTAGATCTGTAAATGAAGGTAATGAAATACGGTGGTTGATGTAGAAGAATGAGGAGTGTAACAAAGTAAGAAGACATGTCAATGATTATTGAAACATAGATGGTTTTTGTCTGGTGAAGAGGCACAAAGGCTAGTTCGGCTTCGGTCAGTGTAATGACCGTTTGAACAGCCTTTATAGTCTTGCATAGGGAATATCTCCATACTTATGTGCTTTCTTTCAGGAAGATATTTCGAATGCAAGATTGGGAGAGGCTGTTCGAATGGTGTGGGCATGGATTTGCATTGACTGAAGCCGGTCTCCACAAAGGCACAAATAATCTTGAAAATTAATTGCTGGTTTCTTGAATGCAAGGTTCAAAATATCAATACATAGGGTGATACGCCAGTAGGGCGTATTGAACTGTATTAGTACTGTTTTTATGTGTTTTTTTTCTTATATTTTTCCTCGAAACTGGTTCAGAGGGGCCAGTTTAAGGCTGGTCTATCCTCTGAACCACTCGCTGACCCGAAACACCCCCTGTAAGGGTATATCGGGAAGGCTCCGATACGATATGTATCGGCCGATGTAGACTGATAGGTGACAAAATTTTGATCCTTCCTTGAATGCTCTCCATTTGTTACTAAACTTTTATTTCTTTATAGCTTTTCCAAATTTCATATTCAAATCTTCAAGGTCCCAAAATCTCAGTCGCAATTAATTATCTGACAGAGCTTCATTGCCGCCAACAATGAAGAAGACTTCTTGCCACCGGTATTGTTTCTTCTTTTTCTTATTAACACCATAACTGAAATGTTTTCATCAAAGGCTTTTCTGTCGCCGGCCGTGTTAACTTGTTAATTGATTTTTTCTTCTTCATCTCCTTCGACTCTCCTTCTTCAACAAAAGCCTTATCAAGGCACTAATTAGGAAAGTATTTCTTCTCCAACTGGTAAACCATCCATCCGGTAATGCTTCTCTTTCTCTCATGGAAACAAAAAAGCATATAGAAATATAACTCTTCTCTATTGTGCAACGTCGGAAGTTCTACAACTTCCTGCTTCATATTTCTTCCGAGTCCGTCTCATACATCCATTTCCGGCAGTACTTCCTTTTGTATTTATCTATCTCTTCCAAATGAATCAGACTGCACCTGGCTTGCATCTGTCTCCGAGGCCCTCGATGAAAGCTTGCCGTCGACCCAACCTTCAAAATCACTTGCATGTTGAAAACATTTCAGATATGTTGAAAAGGGCAATCGAACTTTTGGATGAATGCAAAGGAAACTCTTTGGGAAGTCTTTTTCTGAACTTGGACCAAACTCAGAGAACGTGTAGCAGCTGCACCACCAATGACTAATATTCGAGCTCCTGCTACAAGCTGGGAATGATAGAGCTACAATCGTTTAAAATATTTCTCTTTTTTTAGCATCACTTCAAATCCCTTTCCATAAATTACAACTTTCTTTTAAGTACTTGGCAAAGTGTCGTTAGAGGTGGCAAGGGGATGAACTTGGCGAAACCCCACTAATTTTCATGGCATGAAAACAATATCTGGTTTGGTTCAGTTTCAAGGTAGAAGGCAATGAATAGTCTTTTTTGAAGGGTAGTTTCGACATTTGAAAAAGTTTTAAGCTGCACATATCATCACGTGATATAGATAACTAACGGACCGTTAATGACAAAGACTAAATTGACAGTTTTTAAATGTTTAAGTACTGTAGTGGCTCGTTTTGAAGTTCGGGGACTACTGATTAGAAATTTTCCCTATTTAATATGGCCATTTAGTGCATTAGTTAGTTTGTCTCAGCAATACGAATTCAATTCAGGCAACCACCAACTTTAGGAAGGGATTCAGTGTGGTGCTGCACAATTCAAATTATGGGGGATTCGGGCATATCACCAAAGTACCAAAAAAATTTTGATATTGCAATGTTTTTAAGGCATATTTTAGGAGTACAAATACAAATTTATGGAGTGCAAAACCTTGTATTTTGTATTACTTAGTATACAAAAAAAAAAAAACACATTTTTACTTTATATTTGCATTTGTACTCTTTCCAAACTGAGCCTTATTTTTATTATACATGTGTCACTCTGCAAAACGGAATAACAAGAAAGAAATATCAGAAGATATATCTTCTAAAAATGAATTTTACATGACCCAGTAGAAAAGAGTACAAAATATTGGCTTTCCCTCGCTAATGTTACTGATGCAAAGGCCCATTCTACATTGTAATCATGTGGCAACTTTGGAAAGTTGTAACAAGTGAAAATTTGATCACATTTCCACACACCCCTCCATTATTTCAGCATCCATGTCTATGTGGAAAGAGTATATGGAATTTGTCCCAAACTCGAGAGACCGGCTTCCATTAGGGCAAACCTGTGCCCTGAAAAACCGAGTAGATGCAGAGATGGACGGCTGAGATCTTGGCGTACTAAACCTGCATACAAGGAGAAAAAGAGTAGCTGCACAATATAGGATCTGAGACACCTATCTCTCAAACAAAATGCAAGAGAGAATTGTCAAATCTGGATGGGGCCTAAATTTGGAGGTTGCTTGACCTTTCAAGTTATCCTGATTTGTACACATTTTGCTATCTTTGTGATAGTTATATATATATATATATATATATATATATATATATATAGCCTAGGATCTAGCCACATGGTCATCCAGTCTAGACTGGGTCAAATGGATATCCATTGACCCAATAAGAACTGGAATTTGGATCCAGAATAATCCAACAATATTGGTATCTCCATGCATAAAAACAATTTCAAATAAATTTATTTTTATAGAAAATAAATAAATAGATAATAATTTAAAATGAATAATGGTGTGAGAGTGTTGCATGGAGATAATCATAAAGTAGTCATCTTCCATCAACATGTGGCTTGTCACATGGCCATTGGATATTTCAACATGTTGAGGATTAAACGAGGGCCTATGACCACTCTACCAACATGCCTACACTCTTCTAACACCCTTTTACAACCTTGCATTGAGAAAATATCTCCCCATCAAATAAAACATACAAATGGGGAGATATCCTCAATGCAAGGTAATAAAGGCTGCTAGAACAGGTTTTGACCTGACTGAAGCCAAACTCCAAACTCTGTTTGCTGACTCTGCTCCACCTCTTTTATGGATATCAGATCCTGGGAACCTCTCCCTCATGGTTTGGTGAAATTGAATGTGGGTGTTGCAACTGCTCCTTCCTCTGGAATTGGTGTTATTTGCCCTGATTCCTTTGGTAATCATGTAGCCAAGCGGTTTGCATTCCTCAATGCTCTTCAATTGTGGGGGAATCTCAAGCTCTTCTCTATGGCCTTAAGTTGGCCATGTTGCTTGGTCTTTGAAAATTCATCTTAGAAGAAGATGCTATGAAACCTATCTAGGGCCTGTTAGAGGAATCTTCCCTCTCACCTTGGTCCATAAACACTTATATTATGGATTGACTTGTCATGTCAAAAGGAATTTCAACGGTGTTGCTCATAAACTTGCTAAAATTAGTGTCAATGGTCATTACTTTTGGGTGGGTGACACTCCCTCTGGTATTTCTCTTCTGGTTAATTCTGTTTTGTCTCCTAGTGAGATTAGTGTAAACCAAGATTTTACAAGTGAATGAAAGTTAACTCAGGCCTTTCCAACTCAAAAAAAAAAAAAAAATCAAGCAATAATTACCTATGTGATGCTATATCACTAATATTTTTTAAAGAAGATTGTATAATTAAAGTTAAATGACAACAAACAAACTGTACCGAACACAATAGCGACATCACTAACGAAGCTAAAATAGCCTAAATAGGTAATTGATTTCGGTTTTATTCGCAATTGGTCTGATATGAATTTCTTTTTTGTTGGGCCCCACCATGTTGCCAACCCGTGAAAAGGGTCGGCAACGAGACAGAATTCACGGGCGTCATGCATCTGATATGGGCCCACCAGTTACAATAGGCATTAGCCCAACCCATAAATTCAAACTTTTCCTTTCCCACGATTCCAGTATTCCACAGTCCACGGTCCACACCTAACCTCCTCGGTCCTCTGTTTATATTCTACCTATTATACCAAAAATCGTTGACTTTTGTCTTTGGGATAGGTCTAAGCGACGACCACAAAGAGACCCGATCTGCTCCTCACACAGGGCACCTCACTCGAGTATCACATGCACATGGTACCATGCATTGGGAACATCTCCCGTACTTATAAGTTATTATTCATGGGAGATGTTCCCAATGTACGGTGGATGTATATGTGAAGCGCCCCTGTGTGAGGAGCAGATCCTGTTTCCCACACAGTCTAGTGTGTTGCTGATGTGGAAAGTTGTTTTTGTTTCAGAAAATAAAACTATTCTAATCTCACACAAATTGTAAACTATAATAGGGATCGGATACATGGAGGCCCACTCATTTTTCGGAAAGTTATTCATTTGGCTAAATGTATTTGTCCCAATAAAAAAATATTTATTCGAGTAAGTGCATTTATCTATATTTTTTTATTTTTTATGTAAAAAAGATAATGATCATTTTAGCCATAAAACCATTATTAAAAGAGGTAATTTTATCTCATCCAAGTGTTAGACAACTTTTTCCAAATGGAAAGTTATTTATCTACAAAGGAGTGATACTCAAGGAAAATAAATTTTTTGTGAATCCATATAAATCTCGAAAATGAGCATGAGTATCACAGTTGGGGATCAAAATCCCATTGACTAACTTTCCCCATTCTCAAAATCTGGAAAATGAATAGGCGTGAAGTGTGTCATACAGCAAAGCAGGACCCTCTTGACTTAATTGGCAATCTATAAAATCTCTTTTATCTAAGCATGACAAGGATGGATCATAGAAACTAAAATCAGTAGTGTTTTCAACCCATTGTTGACCCGATCAATTGAATTGTTCGAACCGTCACTTGGCCAAGATTCTGGGTCCGATTCAGTCAAGACCCGTTAGATGGTAAAAAAACTGTTGACTTGGTCAAGAACCGTTTGACCTGGCCGGTTCAACCGTTGACCCATTCGACCCGGTCACCAGGTAGCAAGTTGCACATTCAATGTATGCAAACTTTTTAAGGCCATAACTTTGCACTCTAATGTCCGATTGGGGTGATTTGTTTTTATTATGGGTAACTTTTTGAAATCTATATGCCCCAAGGCATTGTAGATGTCTTGCCCCACTATTTTCGCAAAAACAAAACTCATTTTTGGCCTCAAATTGCACTATTTAATATTTTTTTTATAAATAAAAAAATTAAAAATTGAGTTAAAAAATATAAATTAAATATTTGTATATTATTTATTGATAAAATATATATTTATATACACGTGTGTGTGTGTGGCACGGTATGAACCATTCAACCTAGCCAGTCAAATCGATGACCTGCAACCCAAAGGCAAAAACAGTTCGGCCTCCGAGTCAGTTTTTAAAACATTGGCTATCAACGATTTGGATCCTCACAAAATTAGTGGCAATTTTCAACCCAAACCATCAAAACTTGCCCAACCCACCCATTTACAACCTGCCCAAAGATAAAATATAAAAAGTACAAAAAATTGAAATTTATAAAAAAAGGGCATGCATCTAATATTATATGTTCATTATATTAAACAATAATATAATAAAAAATTATTTTGTTAAT